TATATCGAGTTTGTCATATATATATATATATATATATGTTCGAGGACAGTTCGAGGAAGAAGTTCGAATTTATGTATATAATCGATTAGATATGCGGTGTCATTTGCGAAAGTATTTTTCGAATTCCATCAATCTTATGTATTATTTAATGTATATTTCGTATTGTCAGATGAAGTGCATTTTCTTGACATGATTTTCGAGTTAATTATGTTATTGAAAGATTCTTACCTATTCAGAAAGAATTTTTCTGACGACAGTCTGCTACGATGGTGATTATTTGCACGAAGCATGCTATTTCCTATCAGCAATATGTTTAAATGACTATCGCTAGCGGCATTTGTTTTCGGCTGAAATATCCTGATGCTCTATTAAATGGGCTTGTCCTAATTCTATTTATTTGTATTTAATTATTTTCATGTCAGTTGATCTACTTTTACAGTCTTAATTAAAGTTATTTAAATTGGTCTGCGTTATAGGTTGTACATGCACAACCATAAAAATGTGAACGATAATTTTCACGTGATCGATCTCGACCCTTATGGAAGTGCTGCTCACTTCTTGGATGCCGCCGTGCAAAGCGTCGCGGATGGTGGTACAATTTAATTTTTAGCTTTTAATATAAAGTAGTGCAAGCGATAGAAAATTATTAATGTGATTACATAGCACCACAGAAAATACTGCCTTAGCGGTTGATTGCCTGATGTATTTAATTTAGTGATTACAGCTTTTTTGTTAAAGACTCCCGTCTGCGTAGTATAAACACTGATGACGACAGGATTTACTCAGCCATGGCTTTATATAAGAGCGGAAACATGAAAGGAACGAGACATTCTTTATTAAAACTATGTAAGAACTTTCTTTATCACTTATCTAGTTATCACTAGAAAGGTCGATGAACTTTCTACTGGCGATTCTACGCTGTACTTAAATGTGATGAGATCCATTTGGATGATTGGACGTTTCTTAGGTACAAATATTTGTATTTGCAATGGAAGACAAATATGTGTTGTGCTTAAAAACAAATAAACGTGCCGGTTAAAAACAGTATGTGCGGCAGCACTAAAAAGTCTATCAAACATATTTTTGCCAGTTGTTCTGTTTTAGTCAGCGCTGAGTCGCAGTCTAGATAATTTTAGGGCCAGCAGTCGAAACTTGACCGAGGCTAATAAACAAAGAGCGTACATTAGAGCATTCAGTGTGTCATCTATTTCGATCGCGCTATAGTTAGAAATCGTATTATTCACCACAGTCGTCCAATCATGTCAGTTTTTAATCATTAAAACGAGAGATTACGACTTTTGAAAAAGTGCAGGAATTTTAAGTGAATTAAATTCAATAAAATTTTCTGTCAATACTAGTGGCATCTCGAGCGTTCAGATCCCGAAATTTATGAAACTCCGTCTTTACAGCTTGAAACATACGGAAGCGCTACTCAGACAGTGTAAGAAGGCTGCCATGCTAAACTCC